TTCAGCAGGCTTTGGCTTTTTTTACTATAGTCCTAGATAGAGATTTTAGGCTGTAAGGACTTGCAATATGTAAAGAAACTGTTTCCACCATAACAGTTGAAAAAAGTAACTTCAAAGTCTGCATCTATCTTTTAAAATCTTATAACTGGTAGCAGCAGGAAGTCACTGACAGATGTCTTTGAAAGCAAATAGGTAGATGTGAGGGGAAAAAAGCACATGTAAGAATGTAATGTTATGTACTATTTAAAATGAAGACAGTTTAGCTTTTTGTTCTTACTTTGTTCTCTCTTTACCATTTTGATTTGCTGATTGTAAGTAGGCAATCCTAAATATTCTAAAAGTGCCTCCACCTTTGAATTAGTGTTGTGCAGAACATGCCCATAATATGCAGTGAAGCTTGGGATATTTTCTTTCTAATTTACATTAAGTGAAACTTGTTCATGTTGCAGCAGATTGTGACTATTTTGTGAAGAGATCAGTGTAGGCTAGCTGTATCTTGTCGTGCAAACCTTTCAGAGATGGAAAATTGTGCAGTGGGGTGCTTAGTTTTGGTTTGGTCTCTTTTGTGATTGTACTATGCTGCAATATGCTTATGTTGGAGAAAACAGGTTGGAGAAGTTGGCTTGCTTAGAGAGCAGGGTTTGTGAGGGCCTGTATGGGTGTGTTCCAAGTTCTCAAACTAGTCATTGAGAAACCTTCATCTCCCTTACCAAAGAGCTTCACACTGCTTGTGGTAGCAAGTTCTGTTTTGCTTGAGAAGAGAAGAAGAGTCATTGATCGCAGTCTTTATCCCAGAAGTCTAGGTGGGTTTTGGGGATATTTTTCTCTGTTAGCGTGAAGAAATGCTGCAGTATTCCATAGTATTCAGAGTTGCAGAAAGGCTGATAACTTTGTTCAACGCACTCCTCTGAATCTATCACTTCACTTGGGCATGGCAGTAATATTGTGGTGGGCCATGTCAAATGCTGTGGAAGCATAAGAGGATCAGAATGGTTCTCTACCCTGTTTCCATTAGCTGCAGGAGATCTTTTTTCAGAGTCATTCAGATATTTTCATGCCTATGTCTTATCCTGAATCCTGATTGGGCCAAATATTAACTCTGGATGCACACTCAGTTGGCCTTTGGCTAGCTTCTCTATGATCTTATTCAAGGAAAGGAAGTGTGACACTGGATGGTGTGAAGCTAGAACTGAGGTGTCCAGCGTGAGGTGGGTTTGAGTGTTGGTTTTACCTGTATTGCCTTGCAGGAGGCAGCGAAGACTCCTCCTGAAGGAGTTATTGGCTCTTTTGGTTTCAAGCAGCACCAGTTATTCATGATTATTTTAGTATCCCAGAAAGCCATGGGTTGAATTCTCAGGTCTTGGGTTGATTACTTTAATGTGTCCATTACCTCTTGATGAGTGAACTTGCTGAACTCTGGGAATTCAGGGGGACTGTTGGTTGGCAAGTGTTGGTGGCAAGGATCCATGCCATTTCAGAAGCCTTTTTGAATGTGTTTGAACTCCTCTGAGAGATGATGGTTTTTCATGCTTGGTATATGTTCTGATACAGACCTTTAGGAACCTGGGAGCAATGGAGTGATATGCCAGTCTGGGTAACCTCTTATGATAGGTTCTAGAAGCCAAGAAGATTGTTTTGGTCTTTAGTACAACTTTGGCATAGGCTTAGGAAATAAAAAGTCTCATTCTATCCATATCATCCTTCATTTTCTACCATTGCCTCTTGCGTTTCCGCCCTTCTCCATCTGGTGCTGGGCCTCAGGATGCTAAGGAGATTGTGTGATGGGGTGGGAGGAGCCATTTGAGGGCCAGTGTGTCAAAAGTGTTGGCTAGAGTTCAAGGATGAGTTGCCAGATCCTCAGGCATGGGTGGAGTGTTGCTATACATCTAGCAGGCTTTGGAAGCTGATGGAGTAGGTGGTGGCTGATTCCAGCTGCTTTCATTTGGACACACTTCCCTGTTTTAACTTTGTATTTCAAAACCATCTTTCTCCCTTATTGTCACCTTGTTTCTTTTGCCTCAAATAAATGTTAACATAGTTTGTCAAGAAAACTGCAATGCAGACTAGACGTGTACTTTATTAAAAGGACTAATAACTGGAAAGAAGCTTTTATGATTGGGTTGTTTTAATATTTGTAAAGTGTTACACCTGGTGTAAGTTAATAGAAAAGTTGATGAGTCATGTTTACAAGAGTAATCATTTTTTTCCTCTAAGGTTGTCTACTTGCCTACTTTTGTGAATAGAAGCACTTTGGAATAATACTGAAATATGCTGTTCTCTTTCAGGTACGTGTGTCTCTGTGACCCAGGTTGGACCGGAACGGACTGTGAAGTAGAGGAAAATGAGTGTAGGTCAAATCCGTGCCAGAATGGAGGAACCTGTGACAATCTGGTGAATGGATATAGATGCACCTGCAGGAGAGGATTCAAAGGTGAAGGACCATTCAGTGACAATTTCACCTTTCATAAGTTTTTTTTTTTTTTTTTAATCATCTTGGTGATATGTATTTTCTCTTGAATTAAATGGAAATATGAAACATGAAGGGAAGATCTGATTACCATAACATAGAATTTAAAATTAGAATAATATTTTAATTGAAAGGAATCAGATATTACTATGGTGCAATCACTGTAGACGTGACATCCATATAGAAGCAAATATTAAATCCCTGTATAGACATTCTTCTTGAGAATTAAAGTGACCTAAATTCAGTTTAGCTTAATTTGTTTTGGAAGCAAATTGAGCAAAATCCAATTAAGGTCAGTCTATTTCTGAAGGAGGATGTGAACACAGGCTTAATGTGGTTTAACTACCCCTCTTTAACTTCAAGCCTGTTATTAGTTTAGAATAACTTTCCTCAGTGTACACAAGCCCTAACTGTAGTAGCTGCACTTTTGTTCTTTTCCTGGACTTTTGAGCGGTCTCAGTAGTTAGGCTTCATGCCTTTACTTATCCCAGGGTTGAATTCTGCAGTTCTCATTCTTAGACTGAACCAGGGGCCAGAGCTCCAGAATATCAGCCATTCTCACTCATTGAGTGCAGCTGAGTTCAGATTCCTGTAGTTCTTCCTTTGAGCCATGTGTGATCAGTGGTATATGCTGATTAAGCAGCATTCCTAAAACTTTATACTTTTTCAGTTGGAACAAAGCATTTATAGAAAAGACTTTTAAAAATATAATTTGAATTCATCTCTGTCCTACTTAAAGGGTCACAAATCCCTGATGGTGAGCTAGGCAGGTCTCACTTCTTCTGACTAACTCCTGCAGGGTCCTGTGTCTAGATCTGGTCCCCCATCTGAAAAACCAATGCCCATCTCCTGGGAGAAGGATATTTTTAGAACTGCCAACTCTCTTTTGGTCTAGGTTCCTAGGCTTTGATCCTTCTGGTCAAAACTACTGCTGTAGATTGGCTGCTGCTGCTGGGAAATCCTCAAAGCATTCTCCCTTAACAACTCTCAGCTGTTTGCTAAAGGGGTAGTTCACACAAACTATCCTTTTCCTTCATGTTGTCTCTCCATTGTGTTAATTCTGTTTATCTATACACTGAATATTCCAATTACCTAGCTAACATACTGTATTTATAAGTGATTACAAAAGACTTCCAGACTTCCAGCTCTTTTGCAACCAGTTTCAGCAATTTGAACTGAATCAGGGTGTGGACACGCATACATTTGGAGCCCTTTCAAAAGGGCAACAGCTGTTATTTTTCATCGTTGGTTGAAGTTGGAGTGGTTTTACTACATTTGAATCATTCTCAGTTAATTCACATGCAGTAATTATAACATACCAGATGCACCCCTTTTGAAAGATTTCCAAATATACTTATGACCACAGTCTTGGGAACACTAGCGGTGCTTGACCCCCATTAAAAATGGATGCTGACAAAATGGAAAGGTGCTTGGGTATATGAGGGATTACCAGAGTTTCCATCTACCATGCAGCTGCTATAATAGGAAAGGGAGCCTCCTTAGTGCAAAAAGAGGCTGTCCCATAGGGAGAGGGGACTTCTCTCCTCCCCACTGAAAAGGTCTCAGGCGGTGATTACCCATTTGTTGAAGTTGATTGTTTTCTAGAGATAAAGTAAACCCTAAGGAAAGGTGTTCAAGAGGCCTGGAGTTTCCAGCTGTGGCTTCTGCATCTACCCTATTCTTCAGATAGATCGGGGTGGGCAGTTATTTCAAGTGGAGGGCAAGCCTTTTGGCAAGCCTTCAAGGGCCACGTGACAGGTAGCCAGGGACAGATAAATATTAATTTTCTAAACTTTTTAGGGGTCCTGTGGGCCGGATGGAATGGCCTGGCAGGCCGCATTTTGCCCACCCCTGAGATAGATAGACCCTGGCAAACTGAATTAACTTAATTCTGTGTGAACTATTGAAGTGACTGTGAACTTGGAGGTTTTTTTGGAACAAAACCAAGGTCACCCATCACATCCTAAGTCTCTGTATGTGGGTATTCTTGACTGTAAATCTCCTGATCCTGTCCTTCAACCCTCAGTAGCGAAGCAACCTTTTTGGTGCAGCTAGATATGCCAACTTCTTTAAACCCATCCCTTGGTGCGTGTGGCATGCTGTTAATCCACCTGTCCTGTTCTTTCCACAAACTGCCTCTTGTCACTTGGGACCACAGTGATATAATTGCTTGCTTTTGCTCAGCTTCTCCTTAAAGAACAGCTGTGATCTTCCTTTTCTCCAACTCTAGTGACTAAGAGGAAATGCTGTCCATTTCCCCATGGGATAATGACTTGAGTCCCACCTCTTTACTCCTGTGGGCACTGAGTTCCTACTGATATGTTCTCCCCACACAGGTGTGAACTGCCGGATAGTGCAGGCTCCTTGTTCCCCTGATCCTTGTGAGAATTCTGGAATCTGCCAAGAATCATCTGGCTCTGATGGCTATATTTGTCTCTGTGCTCCTGGCTGGGAAGGTAATGTAGACAGGAGGAGAGAGGGGAAGGGCAGGGATATGTTTCAGTGTTAATATTGAGAATGGTAATTAGCTGTGTTAGTCTGAAGTCAGGCAATAAGCAGGGCAGGGTGGCACCTTTAGAGACTAGCTGGCATAAGCTAGAGACTAGAGGCATAATAAGCTTTTGTAAGCTACAGTCTACTTCATCAGATGCTATAAATGGACTTTCAGTTTTAAGATTAAATATCTTCAGGATTATTGTATGTTGTTTGACTTGAGCTCTGTGGGATCTTTTACTTGCATCCTTCTTTCAGGAGAGAGATGTACGGTGGATATTGATGAGTGTGTGTCAAAGCCCTGCAGGAATCGTGCTGTCTGCCACAACATTCAAGGCAGCTACCTGTGTGAATGCAACCCAGGCTTCACTGGGGGAGACTGTGAAAGCAACATTGATGACTGCCTTTCAAGTAAGTGTGGAACAAAACAGGCAGATTGTTTTCCCATAGAAATAACTCAGTCTGCTTAACAGTGACTGCCCTTGGTAGATGTATGAAACCAGTATCTTTTATAAAACCTTATCTAGAACATACTCAGCCTTGTAAAACTTACACCCCTGGGACAGAAATGGGCACTTAAAAGTTCTCTGATAGAAGCTGTCTATAATAATCAGAACAGTAGGAGTCATATGCCAAGTGCAAGTTTGAATGTTTCACATGCATTCATAACAAGCTGAAACTGAGACTCATGTTTGTGAAGTTTTTATACATGCTAGAATCAGTGTAACATCTTAGGCTTGTGTGCCTTGAAAGTTAAATCAGATTAAGGCTCAGCATGGATATAAAGTGCAGTAGTTATTCCTGAATAACTCATGTATATGTTTATTCTGAAAGCAAATTAAACTAAAGAGCAGCAGGCACTCTCCTTCTAGAATAAGTATTTGCACATAGTTACTCGTGTAGTTAAGGTTACCAGAACTAAAGTGAAAGCAGATTTGATCAAGAGATTTTTGTGCGTTTGCTTTATAGAAAGAAAACTACCTACCTACTTAGGTTTTTGCCTGTTGAACATCAGATGTTTATAAAGAAAAGGAAGACAGCTTAACATTTTTCAGGAGGACTTGCTTTAAAAGTTCAGAAAAGAAGTTTACTACTTGAAGAATGCCTTGTTAAAAAAACTCTCCAGCACTGCTGCACATACCATTTTGGTATATTTCATTTGGTCTGTTGTTTTAAATGTTTCTTTCTGAACAACTAGATATAGAACAGTCAATACTAAGGTCATTTTGATTTGGTACGTGGATCATGTAACCTCATCCCCTGGAAGCAGATTAGATTATTGGTAGTGCTGTTGCATTTGTTCCAGGACTCCAGTGTAAAAGGACATTTTCATAGGCTGCTTTAAAAAAAGGCTTTATCTTAGTAATTTTGATATCTAAAATCCCACATGATTCACGTGTTACCCTATCTGAAAGTAAAGTCACAAGATTGATTTAACATGATTCTTAGTACTTTAAAAACATCCAAAAGGAGGGTTTGCAAAACTCACCAAATTAAGTCAGCTGTAGCAAAAATAAAAACCTCCTTTGATTTGGGCCAACTGTCTTTACATCCCAGAAGTAAATGGACCCTTCCAATAATGAAAACACAGTGAAGAGCTGATATAATCACCCCCTCTACTTGTTTGCAAATATGCAGTGCCAACAATTAATGTTCGGCTTTCAGCCCTAGTCACGGTGGCTGACTGCCATAGGCACAGCACTTTATAGCTGCCAAGAGTTTGACTTTTTAAGTACTTATCTCTGCAATGGCCGTGTGACCTTTAAATGGATGCAGGTGTTCTTTCTAACAGTGCAGACTTTAATCATATGAACATATTTTTCCAGTAGTAAATACTTTCTCCATCATTGGATTGGACCTTTGCGTAATGAAGGCCTGTGTCTTACTGCACCAGCAGCACCAGCACCAGAGGACTGGCTAAAGCTTGCACCAAAGATTGACCATACCATTCTTCATTCAAGCTAACAACTGTGCAGCCTCATTTTGGCATTTTTTAAATTGATATTTTGATAAATTAATGGAAGACATGGTGTGATGGGGCAAGGAGCTTTTGGTTCAATGGTCAGTGTGTGTGAGGTGGTATTGTGTTTGAAGGCACTAGGTTGAGGTATACAAGTAGCCCTTGTGTATCTGGGAAGATGTCCGATAAACCCATGCTTCATGGCTTTTGCTTTTCACCAGTTTTTGCTTTACAGGATAATCCTGTAGAACTTAGTATTAAATTATATATTTTTTGCTATAGATTGGTTTGCAGAAGTTGCTCTTTCCACGGGGCGACTACTCAGAGCCAGTCCCTTCCCTGCTTTTCCCTTGATTAATAACTGTTATTTGTGGTGTTGTTATAGATCCCTGCCAGAATGGAGCTTCATGTGTGGATGGGGTGAACTCTTTCTTATGCATCTGTCTGCCTGGGTTCCAAGGGGAACAGTGTCAGACAGATACCAACGAGTGTATGAATGAACCATGCAAGAATGGAGGCACCTGCTCTGACTATGTCAACAGCTACACGTGCAAGTGCCCAGCAGGATTTGAGGGGACCAATTGTGAGAACAACATCAATGAATGCACTGAGAGGCAAGTACATTTACATTTCTTTTGACAGTGTGAGTGAGTAGCTATGAAATGCTATCTGGTGGTTTGGAAACCAGTCCCATTCAGGAGTAATGTTAGAAATGGGCCTGCTATTTTCCTAACATGGCATAAGGACCTAACTGAGTTGCAGGCAAAGGATGCTGGCTTAACTTGTGGCTTAACACAGGACTGCACTTCCCCAAAGGAGCCAGCTGTAACAGAACTCCTTTTCTGGGCCTGTTCTTTGTGCCTGAGCAGAGGCAGTCCCCCACAGCTTAGAAGCATTGACCCACAGTTACCTAGGGGTGTGCCTTTGTGTATCCTAGAGTCTGGTGCAGAGATTGCCCTCATTTCATTCTTTGATACTTGTCTTCTTGCTCAGCAGAGAAGGTCCTTTCAGTGAGGCATGTGCAGGGTTTTTTGTACCCAGATGGCCATCATGCACACAGGTACATTACAGGAACTGGGTAAAACATACTGCTTTACAGAACCTAGATGCTTATGGCAAGTGAGGTATTTGATGAACTTAAGTAAAAGGTTCAGTTCTGCATTGAAATTCATCCTGCCTTTGGACATCAGGAAAGAAACCAGTCTTTTGAAGGTGCATAGAGCTGAAAGATGCAAAAAATATCAAAGCTGTGTCCAAATCTCTCTTCTTGGTGGAGGTTTTTAAGACCTGGTTAGACAAAGCCTTTGCTGGGATGGCATAGTTGGGGACAGTCCTACTTTGAACAGGGGGTTGGACTAGATGACCTCCTGAGGTCCCTTCCAACCCTAACTTTCTATGATTCTAAGGTTAACCCTGTCACTGTCAACCAGAAGTCACTGAGTTGCAGTTAGCTGAATTCCGGCTTTAATTCCCTATCATAGAACAATTCAGTCAAACCTTTCCTTTTCCTTGGTTGAGGAACCACCACACCTAGGGTGTCATCATTTTTTGAAGATGGTCTCTGGCCCAATCTTTTCTCTTGCAGTTGGGATCAAATTCAGGCAATGTTTTTATGTCAACAGTTAGGCCAGGAATACATCTTAATTGAGGAAATTTTCCAGCGTGGAGTCATTGGCAGTTTCCCTCTTTGCCTTGCCATGGTTTTAAATGAGCAGGAGCAGTTTTTAGTCCTTGGAAGCTAGGTAGTGTTCAGCCTACTGAGACAGGCAAGCAGGTCAGCTCAATAAAAGGTAGTCAGTCTTTGGCAGGTATAGCTTGTTTGCCAAGCAGTTCAGCTCAGTCAAAACTAAAATTGTTAATGAGAACTTGTACTACAGAGCAGAGTTCAGAGAGATGAGTCAGCAGCTTCCTACACAAAGGCCATCTTGATGCTGTGGAAAGAATTCTTTGATCACTTCTGATTTCGTCTCTTGAAGTTGATAATATGTGTTCTGTGCATGTACTTTAATAAAATTTGCCATCTTGATTCCTGTTCCAGAAGGGCTTCATACTGACAGGCAGTTTTCAGCAAGTGCCTTAGAGCACATGCTGTAATGAGAGGTCTCAACATCAGGTAACACTTGTTTAGCCAAATTTTTGGTTGTTGTTTCATAGGGTGGAAATAGATATCACCTTTGTGCCACCATAAAAAATATTTATAGCGGCTCAAAGGCCAAGTAAACAGATATCTGTACCCCTGACTGTACCACAAATGCTGCAAATTTGTGGCTGCACCAAAGGTGGTAATAGTTTCTGCCACTTTATTGCAATAGAGATCTGTGCGCTTCATGATGCAAGACTGCAGGCAGCCTGGAGCTAGCAGGCATTCCCAGGGCTTGAGGGGCCCTTATTCTGTGCACCCTGGGAATTCTTGTGAAGGATCAGGCCCCTCAAAGCCTAGGAGCACCTGCCTGACTTTCCCCTCTTATAGAGATGCACCCTGGGCAATCTCTGGGGCATGTCATTAAGCAGGAAGCCCTAGCGTCTCCACTTATGGAGATGTGCCACAGGGTATCTTCAAGGCTTGTCTCTGTTTAAGTGGACAATGCATTGCCTGTTGTTCCACAGGCTTGGTCCCCTGCCTGATGCTGAGACAGCAAGTGACACATTTTGCCCTATGAAGCCGATCAGCTATGGCAGAGCACATCCTGCTGCAGCTGATCTACTTCTTTTGGTGACTCCTGCTTATACCCACAGAGAGAGGAAGTTAGCCATACAACACTCAGTGAAGCAGTTTTTCCCCACCACTGTTTGCAGTGGTAAGATCATTCAATTTTCCAAAGAGTTTTTCTGCCATTGTACACCTTGTACAATGATGTGCCGTGTTCATGGGAATATGAGAGAAACAAGATCCTGCTTAACAGATCTTGCTTCTTGATTATTGTACATCTTGATACCTTCAAAAAACAAGAATTATTTTATAACTGTCTCTCTTCATTCAAAATGTTAGTCTATAAGAGCTGAGCATAAATAATGGAACTTTCACATAATTGCAAGAAAAAAATTGTTTGATACATTCCATGAGTTTTTTTTCCTTTACTTGACTCATCATTTCTTTAAGAAGTATTCAAGACTCATCAAGCTGCCTTGCAGCTTTGTTCTCTAAAATCAGTGATGCCGTATGAGCAACCCTCAAACTGACATGGTATGATGCTTCTAGGACATTCGCATCAATGCCACCAAAAATGTTACTGCTTTCTTGACTGTCTTCCTTAGGGAAATGTGTACTTCAAAGAGCTGGACTTTGTGGTGGGCTTCATCGGAGTAGACAGAGTTTCATTGTGTGATTGGATAGTAGGCAAATGATTCATTGAAGACCTAGTTTACTTTCCTTACCCCTTGTGGTCAATCCAATCAGTGGTTGGAATCATGTCATTTAACAGCTGTTTGTTACCTTCTCAAAAGCTGTTAATTAGTAGCTGGAGCATATTTGTGCCTGTGATGACTGTTCCTTTGAAACTGAAAAATTCAAAGTTGGTTTTGGCATACCATTTCCAAGCAGCTCATGTACCACAGATTGGGAATAATCTTTTGAAGGGAAAATCATGGAAGCCCTTTCTGTCAGTACATTTAGGTTGAGAGAGAATATTTGAGCAACCCTGCCTCAGCAGAGGTGAGGTATGTGACCTGATGATAGGCATTTATTTCCAGACCAGGAATCCTCAACTTGTGGTTCAACATATTTGCCGATTACGCGATTCTGGTTCTTGCCTGCAGCAGATTGATTGATTGTATTTAAAGATGCTCAGATTTAAATGTCCTTATTTTTCTTCAGTACATGTAATTGTAGTGGTTGCAAAAGGGATGTTATATGTGCAAATGGGAGGGGAGGAAGTCTGAGCAATTGAAGTCTGAACAGTGGAAATTGTCATTAGTAATATGTTGAGGAATCTCTGCTCTAGGTCTGTGGATAAACTATCTAAAGCAGATGTGTTTAATGAGGAGGATACTGCTGTCCAGATGTCATGTTGGAAAACACCTAAGAGTTTTAGTGAAGAGCATATCTGTTACAAGCTTGCAGTATCCAAAATTAACCTAAAAAATGAATGGACTAGACTGACAAGTCCTAATGATGGCTGGAGTTTTAGTAGGGCTGGTTCTTTCTCACTTCTGTAAATCTTATATAAAATCTTTGGCTGTGAGCTAACTTGTATTTTGTCTTATATTTTATTTTATTTTTCACTCTTATGTTGTCTTTCTAGTTCGTGTTTCAATGGAGCCACTTGTGTGGATGGGATCAACTCCTTTACATGCCAATGCCCGATTGGGTTCACAGGAACCTTTTGTCTTATGGAAATTAATGAATGTGATTCACATCCTTGCTTGAACAGAGGGACTTGTGTGGATAGCCTGGGGACCTATCATTGTGTTTGTCCCATGGGTTACACTGGAAAGAACTGTCAGGTAAGTAGCCCAGACCTAGATGTTCAGCAGTTATTTCAGCTGGTCCATTCTTACAAATGTTCAGATGAAAGTAACAAGTATAGCAAAAAAGTCAGGTTGAATGAATACCAGGCTTTAAACAATGCAGAGCCCCATATCCCTTGTTTCCATTGGGAGGTGGTTGACATGCTTATGCAGATAAGGCCCACTGGATTCAGTGCTATTTTGTAACAAAGCAGCTGATGCCATTAAAATCCTTGTTATGGCAAGGACTTGTTAATGCTTTCCCTCCACTCTAAATCGCACACAGCTCAGCTATGTCTATCCTAGAAATTAAACTCTTCAACCACAGTTTTGGAGAAGGAAGCCACATCTGAAATTAGCATGTGGTATGGTTTCTGTAGAAAATGAACAGCATCAAAAGCCTTCTGTGTGTAGTTCTCTGCCCAGGATAATGGTAGCTTATTTACTTCACTTTCACTTCAGGCTTGCTTTACTCGAGGTCAACATTTGTGTGTAAATAAGGTAGGCACCACTTGGATAGAGACATTAAATATAGTTAATAAAGCAGAATTAACTGCTTGCCCATTGCAACACTGACATGTGGTTTCGTGCTCCCAGACAAACTCTACTTTTTTCCCCCACCTAGTCTGTTAATTGGAGTAATAGTTAATTGGAATAACAGTTTGTTCAATACCAACAGTCAAGGTGTCTCTTGTAGGAAAATAATTGAAATGATCAGTCAGTCCATTAAATTGAATAGGCCCATTATAGTCAATTAGGCTGGGGCATTGTGGTTTTACAACCTAGTGTTAATACAGTTTTATGCACTGTAAGCGGTGGTTTCCTACAGTAAAAGTGGAAGCTGCTGATTGGTATAGAAAATGACTGTGCAGTCATTACCAAATATTAGCGTGAATTTTTTACTCAAAATGTCTAAAGTTTAAGGCAGTGGTAGGAAATGGTGTATTAAAACAAATTAATAAAAACTGAACTCTTGACATGTTTTGAATTTTACTTTAAGATGGGGTTCATTCTCATTTCAGGCTTGCAACTCAATTCTAAGTGGAGAATTTAGATCATTTCCGTATCAAATATGCCATTGAAAAAAAAATGGCTTATCAAAGTGGAAGCAGGTCATTAATTTCAGGTTGCATATAGACATTTTGGATGCTATGGTCATTAAAACAGCCATGATAGTCTTTTGATTTGGGCAGGGCAAAAATAAGCCTAAGAAATGACTGCTTTCAGGCACTGTTTGATCTCTGGCATTTAAAGATAAGCTCTGAATACTACACAGGTCATCAGAGAACCTGTATCTCATAAGAATTTTTCAAGTCATGTTCATGTTAACCTGGCATTGCAAGACAGCGAGTAATTTTTGGACCAATTTATTCATCATATACTATTTGACACTTAACCTAGCAACTGGCTTCCGGATGCTGCCTGCCCTTTGGGGAAAACATAATGGAAGAATATTTTTTTTAAAGCAGCCTTATTTTAATGCAAGATATTTAATCAAATGTGAGAGACGGCCTAGTGATGACTACAAGTAGCCATACAGGAGAAGAATGTTTTCCTGCTCTTCCATGTTGTTGATTCTATAAATGGAAAGAGAACAGAGTGCTGGGTCTCAGACAAGAATACCATCTACCTAACGATATGGAGAATTATGTCACTGAAGACTTTTCCATTTGCAGAGAAAATGGACAACATAAGAATGTCAAAAGTTAGTCATCCTGAGCATCTGCGCATTGCTTAATCATCTTTAGAGAAGGAACATGAAAGACAATCATAAAATACTATGAAACTGAACAGTTTCTTGTTGGCATCATGTACCTTGGTTGCAAAAAAAATTAATCATCCAGTTACCCAGTTCTGCTCAGCAGATCTGAGACAAATTCTGTGTTCCAAATGAGGAGTTTGATCATTGTGTATCATATACATTTTATATGAGCACTCTCTACTCTTCAAATTGATAAATGCAATTGAAGCTAATATTGGAAGGGTTTAACATTTTATAGGCTCCACTGCAATTTTAGTCTAGTAAGTTTGGTTTGATCTAATTTAACAAAGAGCTGGAATAAGGAGGACTAAATAAAATAAAATAAAAATGCAAGCAGTGAGCCCTTTTGGAAACTGTGTATTAAATAGTCAGCAGTTTATTATAGATAAAATGGTAATACTATACTTTTAACGCCAACAAGAAACTGGCTAAAACCTGGAAGGCAGGAACAAGTTCAGAATTATATCCTCTCTGATGCACTTGAAAACACAGATTTCTCTCTTAAATCTATTTGAGAAAGAGATTGACAGTTCTCTTCTTAAAAGAAGAATTTTATCAACTGAAAGCAGGTACAACAGCTGAATCCAGAACTGTTATTCTTTTTAAAAGACCTACCCTAGCCAGTGCAGTCAGCTTGACATCAGTCAAGCATCTAAGCTTTCCTAGAAGGCTATATGCTCAAAAAGGGAAATAAGTGAGTAAGGATGACACATGTCATTCAGAGATGAGAGAATGGTCTGTTGAGCTGGTTGAGTGGGAACAGAATTGTCTGCAAGTAAAAAGCAACAACTGCAAATTCTTTATTTTCAACAATGGACACTTTAAGACACCAGTTAAACCCAGTGTATCTTGGTACCTTTATCAGAGTGTAAAATGTTTGGGGGATTTAAACTTGAACCCCAGAAAGGCAGAACATTTGGAAAATATGAACAATGGCATATCAGTTACATTTATGAATCTGTTGTTTTAGATACTTGTGGATCTGTGTAACAAGTTTCCCTGTAAGAACAAAGGCACATGTGTCCAGCAGAATACTCACTTTCATTGCAACTGTCCCCCTGGTTGGAGTGGTGCCTACTGTGATGTGCCCAATGTCTCCTGCCAAGCGGCTGCTTCACAGAGGGGTAAGTGGTGTTCTTCTTTGTTATCAGAAAATG